AGTGAATGAATTTGCTCAAATGAATCAGAAGCTGCATATACACAGGTGATGAGCATTACATGGACATTAAAGTGGTTTATGATGATTTTTGTAATGTGTTTTGTAGAACACAGAAATGTTCGTTGTGGCAAGAATAAAATATCGATGTTCAAATAGTCGTCATTTAAAAGTCGAAGCTCCTCTGGAAACAAAAGCTTTTTTTAAACCCATATCAGCTCTGATGGTGTTGAACTCCGCAGTACCAATTACGCAAAACAGCTGCCTGTTAACAAAAATCAAAATGCAGCTTCACAGTTGCTTCACCCACTCACAGCGCTGTGCTTTTCAACAGCACAGCAGGGTGTTATACAGCAGCTGGCACGCTCGAGACATCAAGAGAAGGAAATTGAAATCCACTGGGCCATCTATGCCTCTTTTCCACTTGCACCTACTCGGCTCTGCTCTACTGTACTCTGTCCTTTTCCATTGCAGTTGAGCACCACATCAATGTGGGTGGGATCATTACAGTAACACGGCCCAAAAAAATCCTGTGATGTCATTTGTATGCAACACAAAACAAACAATGGATGACATGGAGGTGATGGTAACGTCTGCACCTCATCATTGAAGCACAGTGTTTGCCTAGTTCCAAAAATGGCAGGTTTGAGTCTTGTGAAGGAGTGGTCAATCGGTGGCATGCGGTCTGCTGATGTCTCATTTTCAGCTCGACTCAGCTTGATTGAAACCTGGTCCCAGGTACTACCACCAAATGGAAAACCCCCAAAACAGTGACACTGAGCCAAGCCTGGTAGGTGTTATTGGAAGAGAAGCTGTTTAAAGGTTTGGGTGAGCTGGTCAGAAGATGATTACCATCTTTTGGTGCAGAATGATGAGCTAAATTAATTCCTTCTAAATGGTTTTTTGCTTTCGCACTGAAAGCTGTGATCAGAAATATCTCTGCTGTCTTTCAGAATGCTTGTTTGCCCTCTTGTTTTGTTGGCTGCCACTGTCTTCAGTTCAAAAACATACAACTTTGCATTGCATTATATTTAGTGTTGTCCTCACTGTTTCACAACAAATAATCTAGCTTTGTAGATTTGGAGCCGTTTGGAAGTTGTTGTAATAGATTTATTGATGAGATTCATGCAGTTCATTAAATAATTGAGATTGTGAGCCAAATAATATAAAACATTAAATCACCCTCCTCTGCTGTACATGATAGTAAATCAAATCAGGTACTATGTGTAGGGTTGTTTGAGTGCCTTGAGTTTGTGATTAGAGGTCAGTCCATACTTCAAGAAGAGGAAGATTGTTTTAAATATATTTCTTTTTTAGTCTTAGTCCTTCTCCTGGTGTTTCATGACCATTTTTTTGTTTTGTTTTTTTTTCCCCCACCACCTGAAGTGAACAAGACTGGCTAATGTGTTACCCCTGCAGATATGAGTCACAACCTGCCAGCGAGGAGAAACGAGGGAGAAAACGGCATCTGTGCTGCTTGTGTGGGAAATGAGAACTTTGTCCTTTGCTACTCCACGCAGGGCAAATATTATGCAAGAAGCGCTCGTTCATCCTAAGACACGTGCGAACACGCACGTTGATATGACCTGTTTGAGGCTCGTGTGCTTAGGCCGTCGCTGCATGTGCGCTATGGCTCATCACTCAGGATATGTTGTCATTCTTCTTCAGCTCGGCCTTCGGCTCTGTGCTTGTTCAGCAGTGATCGTAGTACCACAGAGCTTGCTACAGTGCAGTTATTCACAAGTGCATTTCGACATACACTGGTCACATGTTTTGTAAACGTGATATATGAAGAGCGCCTTGACTGGAATTTTCTCAAATATGACCGTAAAGTTTACTTGGACCCAAAGCTTAACAGTTGATGTTTGTGTTTAAGGTGCAAGGCCACTGTGACATCACATGGATCCCATTCTTGTAAATGTGACACACCCAAGGCACGCTTACTGATTTTTGAACATGGCCTAACATGTCACAATAAAACTGTAGGCGATTGAGGGTGAGATTTCTTGCAATTGCTTTTTACGAGGTTAATGTTGTGGTTTTATATCATTGTAGTTTGTTAAGTGTTTTAAATGCAGCCACGTGTACATTCAAAGCTACAAGCAGCACACCAATTAACTAACATGCTTAACTATGGGAGGCCTTTGTGCAGTGATCAGCATGGACAATGTTACTACTGTAATACAAAATGGTTGTTTGCTCCGTTTCCAGTAAAGCTTATTGAAAATGGCCCAGTGGAAGAAACTCGGTGAGGAAGAATGATGGTAAATAACAAAACTGGTGAACTCCCACAAGCTTCACTTCTTCCTCTCCAGTTGCTCTCATGTTGTTCTTACCAGGAAGTCGCTTAAAGGAGTCTAAAAGATAAACGAGAAAGATGATTGATAATAGCAGAGGCAATGCTTGGTGGTTATTTAAATGTGTAAGGATGACATAAATCACTTTTTAGGGTGAGATGAATTGATCAGAGTTCCTTTTCTTACCTCCTGAAAGAAGCCTCAGTTCACTACTTATCTCTGAGAAGACTCCCCCTGTGGTCAATCTGGTTATTAGTGTTTACTTACTGTTGTGTTAGTTCATTGATTTTCTTTTGATCTTGCATAATACATGAGAAAAAATGCAGATGTTATATGTGTGAATATTTTATAACCGTGTATGGTATGAATATTGTATGAAGGTTTTAAGTGAATTGTTTCTATCCGCAATCTAAGGGTAATGGAACACACCGATATGTAACTCTTATTTAGGGAACGAGCCCTCGTAGTGCCTGCTCCTGTCCTTGTCCTGGCACAGTATGCACACACAGACACATTAATGCAAAGTAAAGGGGCCATTATCCCCAGTAAGCACCATTTGCTGCCACGGTCACAGTGGGGAGCCTGCTCTGAGTGCCACGATCATCAATATGCCGCATTATTTTATCACAGCACAAACTCTGCAGGACTAGCCCCATTTTGTGAAGCTTTCTGGGGCTGCGCTGTAGCTCCAAGTCACGTGTGCATGTGTTTCTGGATGAGTTTGTGTGTCTTCCCTCTGGCAGTGACAGTATGATGTATGGGGGAGCAGCAGCCTGCTATCAGAGAGAACAGGTGGCTCTCTCAAGAGACAAACTGACAACACACTGTCCTGATTTAATGTGTAGGAGAAAAAAGAAGACGGAACGATCGTCTTTTTATTCTCGTGGTAAAAATTAGTAGCTGTTATTCCCACGAGGGGAGGAGAATGACTGAGGCCCACAACATGATGGAGGCTTGTTCAGGGTCAGTGGTTCATTGTAAGTAGGCTTTCAGAAGCTACTAGAAAATATTAGCTTCAGCTTTTATGAAGGTTTAGAGTCCACGGCGACACGGCGCTCCACCCACAGACCATTTTTAAGGAAACAACTTTTTTTTTAATCTTTATTATTCTATTTTCAATGATATGAGTATTTGATAGGACTTTTGATTAGTGGTGATGAGTCACTGGCTTTTCCACTCAGGCTTTTCCTGGTGGCACTCATGTGAAAGATAATGAGAGGTGTGGCATTTAAGTCTGTGGAAACATCCTGCAACAGGAAGATGGCGGTAAAAGTAAAGAACTTCAACGGAAAGTAATTTGCAGAAATAATCAGCAGAGTATTAATTAACACTCCCAGACGCACACAAACACACACACACTTGTCGTTAAGCTTTAAAAACCCAGAGGCATTTCAAGATGGCTGCCAAGCGCCCAGACCTGTTTCACAAAGGACTGGGGCGTCATGCCTCTGATACTGGGATGCTGGCATGCCATGTGAAAGCACGCACTGTAGTGGCGTTATGCTGTTTTTGTTTGGTTTGGTATGAATGAGCAAAGGCAACATAAACGGGTCTTTTTAGCCACGCAGACCACCATTTCTGTCTGAAAGAGGCTAATGAGTGCTTAAACGTGTGCTCAGGTGTATTTGTGCTTATTAATCACCACGAGTTTTCATTTCTACCTGTGTGTGCCGTATCCCTCGTTTGGTCATTTGGGAGTAGAGGAAACGAGCCCAGAGATATTCTCACCTTTCAAGTAGCAAAACAGTTGTTTAACAAAACTTCCACCGAGTCCAAAGGTCATCCTGTCAGTTTGGCCTCCTGAGGGAAATGTCTGACTCTTTACTGCTAAACTGTGTTCACCAGGTACTATAAATTATATTTGGTGTCGAGTAAGTCGAATTCATTCAATTTTTACCAGCAAAAAATAAATAAACAAATCGTGCTGCAGGTCATAAAACAGAAACAATCAGCAGATCTGGTTCTTTATTGGTTCATCATCTCAAGTGACTACTTTAAATAATTGGGAGATATTACTACATCTTTCATCAGTTATTACTTAAATTGTGTGTGAGAGAGTGTGTGAGAGTGTGTGAGAGTGTGTGAGAGTGTGTGATTGCAGAGGTTTTGATCCTAATCTTGGTCCAGGTAGTTTGAGGCTGGTGGACGCTGAAGCTGCTGGCAGGCAGCCAGTGCGTTGTCTCATCTCCGGCTGCCTTCCCTCCATTATTGTCAGCCCGTGGGAGATGGCTATTGATCTCTGTGTGTGTGTGTGTGTGTGTGTGTGTCCCTCTTGGTCTCTGACTAGCCACATTTCACTCAAATCTATGCCTTTCAGGGATATGAGAGAAGAGATGAGAAGAGAAATGTGTGCAGCATCGAGGTGTCAGACCAAACCAGTGTGAGCTGTATATCACTTGGCCACAGGGATGTAGAAGTGACATGTTAAAGATCATTATAAATGTGATTGTGGCACAGAGGTCATGAGTGTACAGCAGCATGTAGAGCGCAGGCGATGCAGGCAAACTGGCGTCAGTATTTTGTGCTGTACTGTACTCTTTACAACTCTTTATATAAATCCATCTGCACATCTGTTCTCCTTTACCTTTGTGTTTGGTGATTTGTGAGACAGTCTGTGGCTCCCTTCCCTGTTTGAAAGCACTTGATTCTCACCAGTTCACTAATCATCACAAACATGTTTACTAATCAAACTGTTGTGTTTTGTAGATGGCTGCAATCAGAAAGAAGCTGGTGATAGTTGGGGATGGTGCGTGTGGGAAAACCTGCCTGCTTATTGTCTTCAGTAAGGACCAGTTCCCAGAGGTCTACGTCCCCACTGTGTTTGAGAACTACATCGCTGACATTGAAGTTGATACCAAACAGGTACGTTGTAGAATATATATGTACTGGAAGTGCTGGGTATACAAGTCTGGCCCAAGTCTTCAGTCAGAAAGACTGCTGCAGTCCAGGAGTCTAGTTCACCGTCTTTAATGAAGCTTCACAGAAGAACTGGTTACAGCAGGGCTTGCCAGGATAAATCCAACTGTGATGCAGCCAGATATGCACTTATAATCGTGGCAGATGCAGTATAGGTGACTATAAGCATGGTTGTCTGGAAACAGAAACGGGTAATACTATAATTAGTAGGGTCAAAGATAACTAAGCAACAATCAGAACACAACATCTGCTCAGACACAGCAATATTTTACAATGTCCACTAGGGGTCGCCGTAAGACCCGAAGTTAGCTAAATAGCGCAAATCTTCCCAGTTGCTAGTACTAAGGCACAAATGTGGCAAGCTAACAGCAGCTAAACTAAACAATAAACAACGGAAAAATCCTTTAACCGCGGGATGTAATCATTGGAGGAGATTCTGGCCACTGGTATTAACTTTGTGCAAATTAATTAAATAATTAAATAAACCTACTAACGTGATATCTGTGTACCGGGGCATAACTTTAGCTTTAACATGCACAAACAACTATAACTATTATCATACCAGTTAACCTGTCAAAAGTAATAACACTTACAGTTTCATTAACGCACACGGAATCACACAAACTGCGAGGGAATTTGCACATACGTCGTATTTGAAATATCGGTTTTCGGTTTGAAGACTATGAATAATTTAAACTATTGAAATAGAAGTAATAGTTTGACCTTTGTGTATTTGTAACAACTTCACTTAAAGAGGTTCAAGTTTCCATTTGACATTTATTTTTTTGTTTGGAAAGGTAATAAAAGCTGCTTCTTTTTTTGTTTTTTGACTCAGTGGCTCTCAGCCATTTATTTGTGATTCTCCAAGTTTCTCCTGTGGTGCCATTTAAACAGTAGTTAGGTTGTTTCTGAAAAGTAGAACAAATAAGAGTCCAAAAAAACGAGTTTGCAGATTGTTTATCGTGTGGTTTGGGTACTAATGTTCTCTGTGAACCTTCAGTTATTAAATGAAGAAAATGAAAGTATAAGGATATACTTTTGTAATAAAGGATCAAAGACTGACTACACTGTGTATGTATTGATAATATTAATAGGAGACATTTTATATTAGAGGTATTACTCCTACTCTCACTACTCAAGTACTTTTGCTTATATAATATTTACACAAGTGCAGAATCTAAGAGCAAATTTGAGCTGTTTCTTGGAACAGGCGGGTTTATGTGACACTCTTTGACTCTGTTGATTGTGGACCACATCCCATCAAGATTGATGGCAATAAGTGCCTGCTCTGAGAGAATATTTGTGCTATTTCATTGTTATAAAGCCGCAGATCTCCAGCTAGCAACAGGAAATGGATCAGTGCCACCTTCCTGTGCAAGGTCGGGACCCCTCTCCTAATACATCATGACTAATGTCCCGTTTCCTGTTCCTTTTTCCTGTGCTGTAAAATTGGGGATCAGTTGGTTTTTACTTCAGTAGGTTGAATGTGATGGAAGAATTTAAAATGTAACAACTTTATTTGATGCAGTGAAATATTTTATAACACACTGTTTGACTTACACCTTATATTACGTTACAGTTAACATTACTAAGAAAAAAAGATTTCTCTTGGGAACCCGACTCCTGAGAGACATCTACTGGTAATAGAAGCAAAGGGCAGCTGACTGAGCTTCTTCCTGGTGTGAAATGGCTTATTTTACAACAGTTTACGTGTTATATCTCATTAAATATTGAAAATACCCTTCCTGTGGTAGACTATAAGTGCGGTGTCTGGGCAATCTTGCTAAGAAGCTTGTGAGCCAACAAGAAACATGTGAGATGTAAGAAAAGCCCAGAAGAATTGTTGAGGTACTGTTGTTGCACTCTGGAGTACAATCAAGATGTTCTCCAGCTGTGATTAGTCGTAAAAATACTGCAAATGAAATCAGCAGAAGAATAAAATGCATAAATAATGCAGTTTAATCCTCAGTTTAGTTTTTACTTTTAAAAAAGCCATAATTTCCTCATGAAGTGACATTTCTAGGCTTGTGTGTACTAAACATTCCTATGTAGTTCCTTGTGGCTGCATTGTAACTAGAGCTACAGCTCATGCTGACCTCTCGCAAATGATTTTTGCAAGCGTTTTCTTTTATCTGGAGCAAGCGAGGCGCTGAGGGATTTCTAACAGCTTGATTAACAGCTGAGATCCTGTGGGAACCACCTCCACCTCTGCAGACTTGCTGTTTAGGCCCGATGGTGGAGGATTGAGTTGTTCTCAGTTATGTTCCTCCCTCTGTCCAATGGGATTTCTTTTGTTGTCTGTAATCTGTTTTTGTATTTTAATGCTAGCAAGTGTGTGCTCTGTGTTGGAGCTGCTTGCTTCATATGTTTTGTTCTTTGTCTTCCTCTCTCTCAGGTGGAGTTGGCATTGTGGGATACAGCAGGTCAGGAAGACTATGACAGATTGAGGCCTCTCTCCTACCCTGACACAGACGTAATCCTCATGTGTTTCTCCATAGACAGTCCCGACAGTTTAGGTAAGGCGGCGGTGAAAGTGTGTTTTAGTTCATTGCTGTGCCCCAGTTAAGATATTTTTCTGAAATCAACAAGCAAAGTCTCCGAGTTCCTGAGACAGTGTTGTATTATTCTTTTGTAAGATTACTTCACACCAAAGGTCACCTGGCAGGGAAATGTTCCAGATTTTATCTGCTCATGGGGCTACATCTTCTTACAAAGGGTTTTCCCACATATTTCATTGGTATCGTAACCTGCTGTTGAAATTCCATCTTCCACTGTCATGGAAAAGTCATGACTTGACTGGTTTAACTGCATTACGATGCATTAATATGTAGGCACACACGAGATTACAGTCGCTCCTCCAATGAACTTGAGGAATGAAGTCTGGGCATCAGCTGACCTTTGTAGCTTTGATTGCTATGGTAGACATGACGGACTGGAGAGGGTTCACCAGGAACATGCAGTTACTATGGATGAGATGCAGGAAACTTGGATATATTTCTTCAGAGAGGTTTTGGGTGCAGCTTTTAAATGCAGTTTCCTCTACCACCTCAGCATCTCCTCAAAATCTCAGCAGGGAACTTCTTTTATAGTCCTTAGGTGTTAAGCAAAGCTTAGCAGAGCGTCACGGTCTCTGGGCTTGGTTAGATATGTGGAGCAACCGGTAGTGTGGGATGCTTGTGTTTACTTTTGTTGTGTTGTCAGTCCTTTAACATTGCCATGGCCACAGAGAAGACAAAAGTCATGAAGTACTATAAATGTCTTTTAGAAGAGCGAAAATAAGGGTTGTAACTTAGCATTACAGCCAGTCTTTGCTTTCCTCATCCATGCTTTAGGATATTCCTACTCAAGCACAAAATGTAATCTCTGTTCAGAGAGAAATCGCTTGTTTTGTCGACTGTGTGACACTAGCTCTCAGTGACCTCTTGGTATTTTTTTTTTTTTGTGCACAGTCACAAGGGAAACTAGTGACTGTCCTTACAGGAGGAAAAAGGTCTGGTGCAAAACTAATGCTCTGATTTTCATATATGGAGTTTTTCTTTATTCTTTTAGAGAACATTCCTGAGAAATGGACACCTGAAGTGAAGCACTTTTGTCCCAATGTCCCAATCATCCTCGTGGGCAACAAGAAGGACCTTAGGAATGATGAACACACACGCAGAGAGCTGGCCAAGATGAAACAGGTCTTGTATTTGGGGGGTTTTGGTTTTTGTGTTAAAGGAAACACATCCTCTCAGCAGATAAATGTCCACGCACAACCACTGAAATTTTAACCGGCTTTCTATATATGACACCCAGGAACCAGTAAAGCCTGAAGAGGGCAGAGACATGGCCAACCGCATCAGTGCCTTTGGCTACCTGGAGTGTTCAGCCAAGACCAAGGACGGAGTGCGGGACGTGTTTGAGATGGCGACCAGAGCGGCACTGCAGGTGCGCAAGCGTAAGAAGAGGGGTGGCTGCCAGATTCTGTGAACAGCCAGAGTGTGTTGGCCACAGCACCTGAGGGAGGACTAGCCCCTCCCCGACACACAGAGCAAACCTAGCGAAACCTTAAATCAATGGCTTCCATGGACTTCACAGACGCAGATGTGCCGCCGGCAAATATGAAAGACTGACACACCTGTTTAAAAGCAAAACAAATCAGCCTTCTTTTTTTTAAAGCAGCCTCCTCTGCAGCTCACTCTGTTATTGCTTCTTTCCTGTTTGTTCTCTACCAGAACACAAGCTTGTTTGAAGGACCAACCCGCTTACTTTACTTTTATATGTATGTTTGTATTTATGTGCATATACTTTATAAATGTCATGCATTGGGCACTGTGTTATGTTTGTTTACAGAGAAGGGTTTTGTGGACTTTCTCTCACAGCTACGAGCTGCACACAGCTTTACTTCTGCTGTTTTCCTCTGCTTCTCTTCAACCTGTGTGTGCCACTTAGTCTCCTTTTATACATCAGCTTCAGTCCTGATTCCTTTTTTTTGTCAGACAATTTATTTTAGACCCCGAAAGTTCTATTTCACCAAGTGCTGTGTCAGCAGAGTGCTGTTTTCCACAGCTTTCTCTTCTGACACAAAGGACTAAATTTACAGCCTGTTCACACTTCATTAATCCACTGAAACCTACATAAAGTAATGCAGGAGTGACTGTATGGAGAGGCTTTGGCCTTCACCTTGGTCTCTGTCTTTCTCCATGGCGATGGCTTAAACTGGCACTGCAGACAGTGGTCTATTGTCTTGGACACAATATGTGCAGTCGTGCTCACACTGGCTCTGGCAGACATCATTACAGCTTCCCCCCAATGAGCCCTGCATCCTGCCTGTACTGTTTGAGGTCCAGTATACAGTCATCTCACAATACTGTGTACTGGACTCACTGTGGATGAATGCACACAATATACAGCCATATTAATATTATATAACATCAGCCTAGTCTGTGTGTAAAAGTAGCTGACAACTAGATTAGCAGCTCAAACATCATTGCGTGGTGTACAGGAGCCCTTAGTCACTGTATGGTCGTTCTTTGAGTTGTGAACAGGCAAAAACCAGAGTAACAGTGATGTCTTTTGGCCCTAAGCTAGAACCGTAAAGCTGAAGAGATTTTACACCAATGTGGCAAAACTGTAAAACAGAATTTGAATAAAATAAAAACATATTGGGGAATGAAACGCCAGAGTTTACGCATGTCTCTCCTTCAGAGCCAAAATAAAGAAGTACAGGGCAAAGGCTGTATGCACTCCTGCTCAGAAAGAGCCCAGATCAAATTGTTTGTGTATTACATCGTACAAATATTCATCTTGCCACAATAACAAAAGCAAGATGTTCCTATACTTGGAGTGGGCACTTGGAGTGGGCGCGGGCTAATGTCTGGCCAGTGGCTCTGTCTTAAATGTCACAACGAAATTTGAGAAAATGTTGATTGAAGCTGCTTTACAAACAGGAGCAGGAAGTTTTGAATGTCTGAAACATGACAAACATGTTAATAAAGTATTTTTGAAATACTACTTTGGTTTGGTTTTGGAGATGGTTTTAATACATTTACATTTCAATAAATTATTTATTACAACTGACTTCTATTCTATAAGTAAATCAGCATTTAACTTTCTTTTGGCATCCCCTTGGTATAATATTTAAAATGAGAATTAAAGAGACCTCAGACTTACAAGTAAAAAATAAAAAAAATTTAAAAAAAAATTGGTAGGTTTGAACATTCAAGTGACCTCGTGTGTTGTCATCTTAGATTTATTTAATTAAATTGATTTAAAATGAACCTTACAATTACTCCATTGATAAGAAAATGAATAAAATTGCTGTTTGGTAACTGTAATTAAGAAATACATTGAAAGTCTCATACATGGGCAGGCAACACTATGTACAGTATGACATGTACATTTCAGTTATTTAACAACCAGTTAATACTTAAGCACAGATTGATTTAAAACTGTAAATTCAAGTAATTTGCTCCTTCGCAAAGTCAGGCGTGGTCCCTAACTGCTCCTTTTGGATTCTATTGATCCGATGACACAGAAGAATCCTTGCATATAAAGTGCACGTTTGTAAAGCACACCCGGTCCTATGCACAGACTGCTTCATCTGTTCTCCTAGTGCTGGAAAAGTGCACTTCTGAGCTGCTTGAGGAACTTTTCAGTCTCAAGATTTATTGTCACCATTGTGACAAGTTGCTGGTGTTAGTGGTGCAGTTCCCTGAGACAACATAGTTGCTTTAAACACAAAACAGTTATGTCTACCATTGTCTTTGGTCAAGATTATCTAGTAAAATATACTTTGGTTATTCTCTCTTGTTTTGGACATTTGATATAGCAAAGTGTTCATTTAGGACAGTTTGATGGTGCTTGGTGCTGAAATGAATTCCTCTGAACACCTTTTGGGGCTCTCCTT